ATGTCATGAATAAATAGTTTATTAATAATTATGTTATTTATAAGAGAAGTGTAAGTGAATGCAAATATGGCTTTATTTTTATACTTTTATTTTTAGATCATTTCGTAGTTTAATGTAATTTTTATTAATCATTCAATCGTTTAGACAATTGAATGAAAACGAGTTTTTTCTTCATTTTAATTATAAATCAAATAAATGTCCATTCAATTCATAATATTGTCAATCAATTAACAAATTACTTTAAAACCACTTTTGAATAAAAAAATATGTGAACAAATAATTGTCTGAAAGCCATTCAATCAAATCATCCAATCTAAATATCATTTAATAATCATTTCTTATTATATTTATTGATTTACTTTTTTAATTAAGTCTATTTTTCATTAGTTTAATAACTTTTTAAAAACTTTTATTAAAATATTGATATCGATGTAAAGTTGCGGATTATATGTGTTCATCATTTACCACGGTTACTTATCCACGACAGAGCCGTTTGTGAATTAATTTTATAAGTAACCATGGCCAATGAGATTATGAGATGAGATCAATTTTTCAACCAAATCATCATTTTTAAATATTTTAATATTCAATAAAACTAACCAAACATTTATCGCTAAATAATTGTTCAAAATATGTATTTTGCAAATGCTTTCAATACTTTGTCTATTAATCTTCATATCAAAGTCCGTAATCATAAGCATTTTAATTAAAACCCAATACATGTATTGGTATCAAATGAAAGCATTTGATGCAAAGGACTGCACAAACAAATGGAGGATTACTTTAATCTAACAAAACATGTTAATTAAAGTCCCGATTAATAAATGAAAACCTTTTCACAACTTTTTAATCCCTATTTTTGGCAAACATTTAAAGCCATTCAAAAGCAGAGTTGAACTGTAAATGTATGCAAAATTGAACCCAAAGTTCAAACCCTATAATTGGACGACAATTTGGATTTTGAATTGACAGCCAATGAAATGCATTCGTTTCGCATATCATATGATATGTGAAGTGAAAGTGAATTCATAAGCAATGAGTTATCAATGCATTCATTCATTCAGTTTCTGGACTTCAGTTCAAAGCTTTTGTTGTTTTGAATAATCAATTGTTTGACACAAAAAAACAGTCGTTTTTAACACTTTCATTAAGTCTTGTGATTACATCCAAAGAGTTAACCAACACTTCCCACACTCTCTACCACTGAAAGACAACAACTTCTTTGAGTCCGACTTTTCTTATCACTTGACTTCACGTTGAAGAGAGAAGAAAAAAGTTTTGATAATTAGTGAAAGTATTGGTTATTTTTGAACACAACTCATTGCTGAAGACATAACTGCCAACTGATCCGCGAGAATGAGTGTCGAAGCGCTGAGAAGATGGTCGCCGAAGAAGACCGCAGACAAGTACTCGTCAAGACTCGAGTGGCAAAAGGACTGTCGCTTCGCTCTACTCATGAGTAAACGGATCCGTTGTTTATACGAGTATTCATCCGTTGTTGAGTATTCAGACGAGTGGATCAATTGGTCGGATCTTCTCTGTCCGCCCAATCAGGACATGAATGTCTCGCAAGACGTGATGTCATTCAGCGAAGCGATGGCTGTCTTAATCTCGGGTCCAAACAACCAGAGTCTACACCGAATCGATTCGGCCATCACTTCGTTGCAGCGGATAATTAACGATAATTGCGATGACGACCAAGAGTTTGGCCAACTCTTTGATGTCCGACTGATTGATCAATTGATGGCAATCGGTTCCAACAGATCTCCCGTTCTTCAGGTTTGTATTTATTAATTGTTTATTTGATTACAAACTCTAATCCTTTGAACAATATTTAGGCGAAAGTTTTTAAACTTTACGAAGAGTTTCTTCTTTCGGAGTTTCAAATGCAGCCGATATTTGCTGTCAATCTATTGTCGTCGACAATGATATCCGCAATAATCTGTTGCTCGAAGTCGGGCACCAATGACTCGATGAGCGCTTCACTCAATCTCTTTCTGGTAATTATTGATACGATTCGTTACATCGAAGACGAGTCCCATTGTCTGAAACAACAGCTCAAAGGACACACCTCTTCGCTGATGGAAGCGCTTTCCCAAAGAGTCAATGCAATGAAGTTGAATACGTCTCGAGTCGAGTCCCAAGAGTTGAAACGAGACAATCGACGACTCTTCACTCGTGAGATCACTGCGGATGTGCGACAGCTGATGGTCACCATCTCTTCGTTTGTCCATCAGTTGGTGTGCAAAGTGTGCGAAAGCGCTGCCGATGTTCAGCCCATTTACGCCCAATTGTCTCCTTTATTGGCCAAACTTTACGGCTATGACCATCAGATCGATGGCAATGTCCTTCAGATAATTTCTGGACTCGTGTCTAAGGCCGAGATGACAATGATCTTTGAACTGATCCGTTGTTTCAAAGAGCAATTGTTTGCTGCGCTTAAAAGCAGTAATAAGTCGATTGTCTGCCAAAGTCTTTGGGTGTTTAAAGTAATCCTGGATGGACTCGACACTAACAGTATAGCCATTTGTCTGACCATCTTTGGAGACCAATTGATCCACGAGTTAACCGCAAAACTGGTTGACAATTGCGAGTTGGATGTGATGGAAGAGGTGCTCTCTATTATGGCAATGATTTGCGATTTGTTGAAGTTGTTTGACAATTGCGGCGATTGTAGGGATCAAATGGTTTGCCATTTGATCGGATTTTCAATGCAGAGTCAAACCTACGGATCGCTTGCTATTCGGGCCGTCAATACAGTGTTAAGCAATTACACTAACACTCAACTGAACGCTCTCTCAGGGAAAGTGGATTTGCGGTCCATTTTATCGCAAATAGTACCACAATTTGATTGTCTTTCAAAATAATTATCTCTCGGTTTTGTTGAGAATTGTTTCCACTGATTGAGAGTTTGGTGTTTTTGACCATTTTTTATATTTATATTATTTTTAATCAACAAATTTGTCATCTTTGCCTTCTGACTCCATATTCATGTCTGACAACAATTTATAATTTGTTGGTATTTATTATTAAGACTATTTTGAAATTTTGTTTCAATTTTACTTGTATTATACGATTGTAATAATTATGATAATTATATTTTAACTTAAGTGTCTTTTATTAATATTTATTGATTTAGTTTTGTATTTGCTAAATATCTTTGTATTTTGCTATCATTTTAGTGTTTCATATAATAATTGTCGATCACTTTTTGTACAATCTATATAATTATGTTAAATTACAATCAATATTGACATTACATTTGTTTATTTATATCCAATGATTAGTATTTGGAAATCATTTTTAATTTATAACATATTTATAAGGACTAAATTAGACAATAATGATTATTATTGTGATTATATGATATTATGATTAACAATTCACTTTATTACTGTATAAGTTTCATTGAAATTATTTATTCAAATCATTGAGATTATTACACTATTAGTGTGTATATTTTTTATAACAATTGTTATAATTTATAATAAATAACAGATTTTGTGTTTATTTTTCTGACTAAATAAAATTAAAATTTTGAGAATTTGAAATTATTTGTGATATCATTTTTTTTGTAAAGTGTTAAACAATCCGTTAATACGATTAGATATCTATTGAAATGATTAATTACATGTCTCAATGAAATCTAGACTCACTTCGGGAGGTATATAATGTGCATCACTGATGGACGTGAAGAGAGCTCCCAATCAGCCAGGTTTGCAAATCGCACAACAAGTTAGAGCTCTGGGCAAACATTTTTTTGTTCAACACATTAATTGTGAACATTTTTATCTAATATTTTCTCTAAAATTTAATAAACATTTGATTTTTATAATTATTATTTGCAATATTTATTACACATTCAGAGCTCGTCATGTTTAGAGTAATAATGAAATATAGATTTATAAAATAAAATTTGACTCCATATTCATGTCTGACAATAATTTATTGGTATTTAAGGATTATTTTGAAAAATACTTTCAATTTTAATTGTATTATACGGTTGTAATATTAATAATAATTATATTTTAACTTAATTGTCTTTTATTAATATTTATCGATTTAGTTTCGTATTTGCTAAATATCTTTGTATTTTGCTAACATTTTAGTATTTCATATAATAATTGTCGATCACTTTTTGTACAATCTATATAATTATATTAGATTACAATCAATATTGACATTACATTTGTTTATTTATATTTAATGATTAGTAATTGAAAATCATTTTTTATTATTATAGGTTTTAATTTATAACATTTATAACGACTAAATTAGGCAATTATTATTATTGTTATGATTATATTGTGATTAACAATTCACTTCATTATAAGTTTTATTGAAATCATTATAATAATGCCTATCTTTATCTGTATAACAATTGTAATAAATAACAGATTTTGTGTTTATTTTTCTGAATAAATAAAATAAAGTTTTTGATAATTTGAAACGATTTTTAATAACGTTTACATATGTGTTAAACAATTCAAATAATTGATGGTTAATATAGTTAGCTATCTATTGAAATGATTGATTTGTTTGTGGATGAAATCTAGACTCGCATCGAGAGGTATATGATGTCCATCACGTGAAGAGAGCTCCCATTCAACCATGTTTTCAAATCGCACAAAAAGTCAGAGCTCTGGTCAAAGATTTTTTTGGTCAACACATTAATTGTAAACATTTTAACATTTTTCTCTAACATTTAACAAACATCTGATTTTATAATTATTATTTGCAATATTCAGAGCTCTTTATGCTAAGAGTACTAATGAAATATTAATATAGTTTTATAAATTATATAATAATTAATGTTTTTTAAAATAAAATATTTGGAAATCTGAATGAAAGCCACAAATTCAGACATTAGTGGACTTGTAATCTGTAGAAGACGTGCCATTAGTTCCGCTCTCGTCTTCTCTCTTCTGTTTGGTTTGCATTTCAATGGGAAGACACAGAAAGAGACGATTCCAGCCGCGGATGGCTTCGGTCTTGAACTCGACATTGAAATAGCAATATATGAACGCATTATAACAACAACTACTGATTCCCAGCCAATAGCAGAGCATGTAAAACGTGGTGGCATTGCAGGTGCCTTTGGACACCGGTATGACCTTGGTGTAAAACTTAAGATAATGCATGAGATGCGTGGGAAACCAGGCCAACCCGAACAACACGGTCACCGTAATCAACATCTTAACGGTGCGCTTCTTGTTCTCGTTGAACGACTTGGTCTTTGTCTGCGAAGCGGTTCCCACCTGTTCTCTGCTCCACACGGCGTACACCACCAGACCGTAGAAGTAGCCGGTGATCGACAACGGCATCACGTATTGCGTGATTATTGTCAACATTACTCGCATTTTTCGCAACACTAGACTCACGTCCGACGGGAATATCACTCGACAACCGATTAAACCCTTATATACAGTATATATGACATTAATATTGTGTTTAATATAACTATTAATTTCGTTTAAATGATTTATTGATGACATACTTGTGTGGGAGAGAAATATTCGGAAACTCTCATCGAGAAGAATGTGGTGGAAGTGAAGAGTGCGCCCAATAGCCAAGTGATGAGTATCGGCACCAGTGGTCCCATTCTGGGCGCCAATGGCTTACAGATAAGTCGGTACCGATCGATGGCAATGGCTGTCATCGTAAACGTCGACACATAATAGGATAGGATTTGAAGCGATTTACAAATGCCGCAAATCCTGTGCGCGAAGACCCCGTTGTCCAAGAAATAGGTGGAACAGAACAGCCACTGACCCGGTATGACAATACCGCCGATGATGTCCGAAACGGCCATATTTACGATCAACTTATAAGTGGTTGATCTGAAGTGCTTCTTCCGGTACACCACAACACAGATGAACGCATTGCCAACGATTGCCAGAATAGATGTGATTAGATATAACACCAAAACTATCCAATCTCTGGAGTCGTCTTCGTATGCGGTGTCGTCGGCGATGGTATTGTTGCCGATCGTAACGTTTGTTGCATTAATTGATTGGTTTAATGCCATAATTATTGGCTCATAAAAACAAATGACAAAATTGGTGTTGAATTCATGATAAATTTGTTGAAAATGTTATGTAAAAAATATTGAATTGATTTCCGTTTTGTTGGAAAAATACCACATTTACAACAAATTCAATAGGATTTCTAAACGACAATAGGATTCACGACATTCCGATCCCTTTAACTATAAAAAACACAACAAAAACTTTAAGTTTGGTTAGTTTTGTGACAATAAATGAGTTGTTAATTCATTTACAGCAATGTTTTAGCACTGAAATAAATATCAATTTATAAATTATAATAAAACAGTATATTTTATTCACTATATAATAGACACTACAATACAAATCATTCAATTAATGCTTAACTTCAATGAGTTTAGCCTTGATTTTCAGTTACAATATTTGGCATCTCTTCATAAGAATTGTTGGGTTTTTTGGTTAATTTCAACTGAAATTTATTCTCATTTTTGTTAATACAATGTATTTTAAGAAATTTTTAACAGATATTTAACTTTGTTATGAAAACTAAACAAAAAATTTGTACGTAAAGATAAATATTGCATAAATATTGTAAAAATTTAATCTTTATTACATTAACAATAAAATAATAGTCGAAACAATGAAATTAAAATTAATTATATTTAGTTGTTTTTAACCGATAATAATTGAAATAACATAATTAATGACATTACCTAATATTATAAATAAAAGTTATAACTTATAAGTAAATAATATAACGAGATGTAGCTTGATGATACAAGTGTTGTGTAACTTTATGATGATAAAAACAATGACAGATTTTTGGTAAATATGAAGTTTTTAATAATATTTTGAATGTGCGGCACATTTATTTACTAACACTTAGTTTATTATGTTATTTTCCACCTTTAATAATTGATAATAACAGTCAATTTATTAAATGACATAACCATCACAACCTTTTAATCCATTCCTCGTGAGTGTGGCTAATAATTAAATGATATGTTAAATGCCTTTATTCAAAACATGAGTGCTTTTTGATCTTAAGTCTTATTCAGGAATTGTCTTTGAATTAATACTTTTATTACCTTACTTAATTAAAATAAATTCAATCACTCATATCTTTAATTAATTTTTAAGTAACCTGGAACTATTTTATTAGTTACTATCTCTTATAAGTTTTGGTGGCAATTAGAAACCATAATCAATTAATAATTTTAATAAATAATTTATAAAATTGTTTAACTTTAACGATAACTAAGTTTATTGATAAACATCAAGAAATTTAAAAATAACTTAATCTCATTTTGTATGAGTTGTGAAATTGTACTCTTTTGTAGTTAATTAATTGAAATCAATTTCAAGTCGAGAGTAATTTTAAAAACTTTATTTAATCGCAAATATAATTACAAAATATGTTAATTGTCTTAAAATCATGTCTTAATTAGTCTACAGATGAGTGGCTCTAATGAGACCTCCGTTGACAACACCACCGAATCGGTTGAAGCCATTGGAGATGAAACCGCCGCCATTGGTGGCGAAGGCGGGGCCGGCGACAGCCACTCGGGCGACGGCCGGTGCGGCGGCCACAACACCGAACGCTTGCTGGTGGACAGCGAGTGCCGGCTGTGCGGCCACAGCGAAGGCGGGCTGAGCGATGGCAAAGGCCGGCTGCGCCACAGCGATGGCCGGTTGGGCGACAGCGACGGCGGGCGCGGCCACAGCTACTCGTTGGGCGACTGCCACTGCTTGCGGCTGAGCGATCACCTGTTGGCGCTCACCTCTGGCCACAACGGTCTGCACCTCTTCCTGGACGGGAAGGATCTCTTGCGTGATGCGACGGAAGGGCACAATCGTTTCGCGCACCTCCTGAATGACCGGTTTGACCACTTCGTGGACGAGTCGGTCGGGTTCCTCCTCGGAGTGAGTGGCCTGATGTTGTCCGGGACGGCCCGGAATGTGCACCTGATTCACGTTCACCGGCGATGACTGCGAGCGGAACTCGATGTTGACGGGAAGTATATTGGGCTCAATGATGAGTGTCGAGGGTT